AGATTACTTCGGATATTTTCAGAGTAAAGGATGAGGAGATCAGGAATAGGGGGTTGGTGGATAAGATTTTGGACAAAACCGGGATGAAAGTCACTGGGAAATGGACGGTTCAGCAGGCTGCTGAGATGTCAATTGCTGCGCCAACTATTGCAGCTCCATCAGATAGTAGGTATATGAGTGGGTTGAAGGAGGGGAGAGAGGCGGCCTCAGAGATTTTTAAGAAGGAAGGGTTGAAGGAGGATATTAATAATGTGGGCGTGGTGGATAAGAAAAGGTTGATCGATGATGTAAGGCAGGAATTGTACGCGTCGAAGATTTGTAGTTAAGCGCAAGGGATGAACTTTTTGAGGGCAAAAAGTATGGAAAAAGGGTGGAATTTGGATTCAGGGGAGCTGGCGAGGATTTGGAAAGGTGGGTGCATTATTAGGGCGGTGTTCTTGGATAGGATTAAGCAGGCCTATCAAAGGAACCAGGGACTAGCTAATTTATTGGTGGACCCGGAATTTGCTTGGGAGATGGTTCAAAGGCAAGCAGCATGGAGAAGAGTTGTAGGTTTGGCAATTCAAAAGGGAATAAGCGTGCCCAGGATGTCTGCAAGTTTGCAATATTTCAATACCTATAGACGTGGGAGGCTTCCTGCAAACCTTGTTCAGGCTCAGAGGGACTACTTTGGGGCACATACTTACGAGAGGATTGATCGTCCGGGATCATTTCATACGGAGTGGTCGAAACTCGCCCGAAAGGCCAGAGTTTAATGCAGGGATTTACAATTGAGGTTTGACTACTGTGATTGTTCTGTACTGGGTGTTTTTTAGGCATTAATTTGAATTTGAGTTGTATCTTTTGACAACTAATAATATTCGAGAGTTTAATGTGCTTAAAATGGGAAGTTATTAATACCCATTTGGTTTTTTTTTTTTTTTCTTATTGCAAATTGTGTTCTTCATATGTGTTTAGATTTGTGCCTATGCGAATATATATTAAGTTATTCATGGTGTTTCTGTGTGGTGTTAATCTCAGATTTCATTGATTGGGATTTCAGCACAAGAAGTTTGATTTGTTTGCTTGTTCATTCTCTGAGATTCTCTTTCGGGATTAAAGGGAATCGGCCAAGGTATGCTTTTAGTTTTCTTTCTCTTTCGATGGTTTTCATAGAAATGGATGATTATCTCTCTCTCTCTCTCTCTCTCTCTCTCTCTCTCTCTCTCTCTCTCGTGTCTTGTATTTATACATCACTATTGGGATTGTAAATCTATGTGGATTAGTTGTTCTGATATTCCTCTTTTCTGCACTAAATGGATATGCCCGTTTCAACTGAATATGAGTTTATAGGAAGTAGGATCTTGTAAAAGTCTCCGAAGTCCGAAATTTTTTGTAAATCTGTTGAAGAAAAATTGGTGTATGAAAAATTACAGCTTCCACAAATCTTGAGTAGAAGTGGTTCCCGGTGTTTGAAGGGCTAATTGGTTTATGGAAACTGAGATCGAGAACTCGCATAGAAGTGGTTCCTCTGTTCTCCTGCAATAGTATTATTGAAGTCAGCTTTTTTTTTTTTAATGAGAAGAACATGGGTTTATTTCCAAGTGAAAATTCTCTAATTCGGAAATATTTACAAATAACCAACAAGAAATGTTGATACTGGATTCGTGTACTGAATGATTCATTCATACAATTAGAAAACACATTAAGATTTAAGAATACAAGCGTATAGTAGTGAGAAAGAATAGGATTGTAATACATGTAAATTATGAAGGCCGCTGCTCCACAAATTCTGAGTCAATCCCTCATGTTAGCTTCAATGAAAAACTTCGAATGGTGCAAATTTAGGCTGCAGATCAAGTTGGAAAACATCACAAAACTCCCTAATCAATGATTTATATGCGATATCAATCAACTTGCAGTCATCGGTGTGATCATTATTTGTTGCTCTATGTCCGTTAGACGACAAATACACTCTTACCAACCCCTTTATACTTCCAAATTTACGATCCAGAATCCCACATGGAACTATCTGATGAGACCCAATCCATGAAATGTTATCCAGTGTGAAACTTTTATTCCAATGGCTGCTAATTTCTGGTCTCCTGACCAGGCCCATGGTATGTAACTTCGCCGCCGTGTTCAGTTCGATACAAATCAAAAGGAGCATTCTTTACATCAAAATTCAAGTATTCTTCTGAACTACCAGTGCCCAACGTGTAAACTGGCTGGTGTTGCAAAATAATCAGCGTACCAGAAAAGTCCTCCTGCTTTTCAATCAATGATTTTCTCTCTTTAACAATGGCCTTTTGCCATGTCCACGCCTCTACATACGGAATCAGCTCTTTATGCAAATCATAGTAATCACACCTTTTTCTTGGTTTAAGGGTGTTGGAGATAATTGAACTGATGAGATATGAATGAATTTTGTGCGCTGTTTTTGATGGACTACGAGTTAAAGAGGGCGGGTTTAAGCTAAAATTGGGATTTACAAAGATAATCATATTTCAAGATTGAATCTTTATTTTGTAGCATGTAAGGAGATCAAAGGGATTTTTAACTGAAGTGTGTGGTTTGAAGTATTGAATTTTTCTTTGAAAAATCACAAGCCTGAAGAAATAGTGTTAGAAAACCATTTCGGAGGTGCATTAATGGAGTACTGGCGCTAGGTTAGTTGTGGCGGTGGCATTGAAAATACTTTCATCTTACGACTTGGGCGCGGCGGAGCAACCAATGTGTTGGCCGCTTAGGGCGCCCACTAAAGTCAGCTCATTGTTGGGTTTTGTGGTTTTGAAATTGGTGATCCAACAATGCTTTGCCCTTGTTATTAGGGGCCTCTTTCAATTGCCTTTTCGTTAAACTTATTGTTGTTTGACTTAAATAAATGAAATTGTTCTTGTACCATTGTGAAGCTTTCTGTTCATGATGACAAAAAAATCTTTTTTCATGTAAGTGTCCATTACACTGGAAATTTGATAAAGATTGAATTTGTTGTGTTTTAAGTATTTACATTTTAGTCCCCGAACTTTGAATCCCTTACAATTTAGCCATTTCTCCAAATTTGTCAACTTTCGCTTATTTTCTTCAATCTCACCAACTTACATCACAACATCAAAATCACACATCTAATTATTTATCAATTACATAAACATTACATCATTAATTATTTAATGAACCAAAAAAATTACATATTTATTAATAAAAAATTAATTCTTAAACAAAACTATTAAATATAAACTACCCAAACGTGCATTGCACGTTGCTTGCACCTAGTATATATATATAAATTAATTAATTAAAAAAACTCTGATTTTTGAACTAGTAAACATGATCTATGATTTATGAATTAAGATCTCCAAATCTCTTGATCCCTGTAATTTCCACTAAAGTAAACCCTAATTAGGGTTAGAGTCGGTAATGAACCGACTTTATAATTTCATATATAATGGTTAGGTCCCCTCTCATCTTCATGTGATTTTGGCTTGTCCCATTAACGGTTGATTAGTTTGAGGAGTAATGAGAGGGAGATCTAGCTGATAATATTAATACATAACAATGTCTTCCGCATGTATGAATTTCTAACTATCAATTAATTTTATGTGATTCTTATTCTTAGCAGGATTGTATTGAATAACTACAACAATTGGTATCAGAACGGCAACAATTCTAACATTAGGAAATTTCTAAAATTGAAAGCAAAACCCGGCTGCTGCATGAAGTCATCTCATAAAAATAGCTTTGCTTTCAATTTCCAACTTTGAATTATTAAATACAACAATTTCTATTCTTCCCCTCTTGTATGTATACGTGTGAATACCCAAATCAAAACAAAAACCCACACCACTATATGAATTTTCACTTCTTAATTGAACACTGGCAACAACTAAAATCTGCCCACTGTGTAACCTGCTTTCGCCATTGCCCCTGCTATTGTTCTTCTTCCTCTTCCTCACGTTGTATTGTTAGTATTGCCACTAAAATCAAAGCATGAAAAAACCCAGGCAGTCTGTGCACTTGTTGAAAGAGTATTCAATAACATTGATTTGATTTTGGTTGTGTGAATGTATGTGTATATATATATATATATATGTGTGTGTGTGTGTGTGTGTGTAAACTAAAGTTGGAAGGGAGAGGGCAGCAGCAGCGCCGGCTGCTGTAGTTGCAGCCGACCGACAGTCGTAAGCTGCCGGTCACTGGTGGTGCCGTCGGGTGTATTTGGCCGGGCGGCTACGCCAAACAAAACAAAAAAATGGGGAGGAAGCTAGGGTTTGATTTTTGTTTGGGTTCGGGTTTAATTGGTTGGGGACGAGGGCTTCACTGCAATTTGTGTATTTTTGGCGGCTTACGTGCAATAATGAAATTATGTCCCTTCTTGCAATTAACACTCAAAGGGCCTGTTTGCAATTGTAAAGAAAATGACATATTCTGTAGTTTCTAAATTGTGAGGCTCTTTTCATGATTTTAATTTTGGGATCAATTTTGTAATTTTGAAATATTAAATTTGAAGTTTCAAAAATTAGATTTTTTTAAAATTTGATCCACTATGTTTCAATTTTGACTTAAAATTAAAATTATATTTAAAATTGACGACTTTATATTTTTGAAATAATTAAATGTCTTTATTATTTGTTCATTTAAATTTTATTTTATATATTGAAATTTAAGTTGCCAATTTCGTCTCATAATCGATCATGAATTTCACATTTCGTCAGTTATGATTATGATTATGTTGCGTGATTATTATAATTAAATTTTTCGTGGATTTCGAGTCTATTTAAGTGCTCCCATTATGAGAAATATTTTGAAATGAAAGTGGGTGGTAACTGACAAAGTGGCACACTCATTTTTTATTTATTTGGTTTTCTTAAAAAACAATTGACGTTAATATCGTAATTTTGAATTATTACATATAATGTCTTGTCCAAAGGTATTATTATATGTGATATTTTTTGAAAATTGGCATAAAACGGTTAACGAGTTTACTTGGTCTAGAAATCTCATTCTGCCCAAATGTGTTGGTATTTCAAAAATCAATGTGTTTTTTTAACTAATTTGATCATGTGTATTAAGAGTACCTTACATCATGTTATATTGTCAGCCCAAAAGCGACTTTATAATAATGTATCTAGACTCTTACCGTAATAATGTTCATTTGATTTTGGCTTTAATTACAGACCATCTAATTATTTAGCCCATGTAAATTCGATGAATATGTTATCATCCACTGTCGGCATGCTCTATGTTTGGATGATATTAAACATGTTATTTTATGTTTACACAGTTTTAAATGCCTCAACTCTTTCGAGACAATTATCTGCTATTGAAACCTTGACTGAGATTTAGGAGTTGGATTTTGCAATGGAGCAGCAGCTTTCGAAACCCANTATGTGTGCTATTCCGAATAATGAAAATGTTAAAGATTTTGTAGATACCATAATATTGAGATTTGTTGAGCCCGATAAATCTGAAGCTGGAGATCTAATGGATAAACTGATGAATATGAGATATGATGGTATAAGTGGTGTTATGGAGCACGTTATGAAAATGATTAATATATCTTCTAAATTAAAGGCTCTTAAAATTCTCATTGCTGAGCCTTTTCTGTTATATCACGTTCTGAATAGCCTTCCGAGCCAATTTAATCAGTTAAAGGTTGCTTATAATGCTCAAAAAAATAAATGGAATTTGAATGACTTTATTACTGTATGTGCCCAAGATGAGTATATGTTGAGGCATGAAAATGTCGAAACTGTGCAATTAGCTTTTCAGCCACCACAGAATAATTGGTCTTTTCATAACCATAAGTCTAAGTTCCACAAGGGCGACAAGTCACACCGTAATCAGCAGAACAAAAATTTTGGAGGTCAGATTTCTGGTGGCCCCAAAAGAACGATAAAGAAAAATGATCAATGCAAGTTCTGCAAGAAGAAGGGTCATGACAGAAAGATTACTTTAAGTTTAAAACTTGGTTGGAGAAAAAGAAGAGTTCCGCAGGGGTTCAGGAGCAAACAGAGGCCAAGTGAGAATGAAGTAAGCATGTGCGTTGTGAATGGAGTTTAAGTGAAGCTTGAGTTCACATGAGTAGTGAAGTTATTTTTGGAGTCTGTTTCTTTTTTTGGTTTTAGAAAAAAAATACTGTTTTTGTACCGACAATGAGACGGAATTTAATATCGAAACTTGATGCTTCTGGTTTTTCCTTTAATTTTGGTATTAAAATGGTTGAATTGTTTTATGATTCTTGTTTAATTGGAAATGATCTCTTATGTGATGATTTATATATATATTGTCTTTGGCTTCTTTTGATGAAGTCTTTTGTGTTGCGAATATGTCAAAGAAAAGGTCTTTAATTCGTAAATCATCCTACATGTTATGGCATAAGAGGTTGGGTTATATTTCAAAGGATAGGACGGAGAGATTGGTTAAAGTTGAGATACCTTCCTCTCTCGACTTCTTTGATTTTTGACATTTGTGTGGATTGTATAAGAAGATAGTTGACTAAATCCATTAGAAAAGTTTCCACTATTAGTGATTTTAATGTAGGGCATACTGTTGACCTGTTATTTTTAATCAACTACTAACAAGTCCTGAGTAACATAAATTGATAAAATGGATGATGAAATAAATTCTGTGGAACAGAATAAAGTTTGGGAACTTGTTGAATTTTCTCCGGATGCTAAAATCATAGATAACAAATGGATTTTCAAAAGCAAATTGGACTCTAAAGGAAATGTTAAGACGACTTTTTTGAATGGGGATCTTTCGGATAAGGTTTACGTGAGACAGCCTGAAGGTTTTGTTGTGATGGGAAAAGAAAACTTGGTATGCAAGTTAAATAAATCTTTATATGGCCATAATCATTATGTAGGAGAGATGGCCGAGTGGTTCAAGGCGTAGCATTGGAAATGCTATGTAGGCTTTTGTTTACCGAGGGTTCGAATCCCTTTCGTTCTATACCTTCATTTAATAGAACAATTTGACTAACAACACCGGATCAAATAGCAATGGAGACCTTTATTCCACTAGTTAGACCTTTCATTGATATAGATTCTCTATTCCTAATAAATTCCAATGTGGCAGACATATATCTACACAGACCAATCAATAGTTCAAGTCACACACTCCCATAATCCATTTTCTCTTCGGAGAATTCCGTTAGCCCTTACTCCTGGTAATTATATTGAAGCACATAATTGGTTGAAGATCACAGGGCATTTCGAATAAAAGAAGACGCCATTTATTTAGTTTATTAATTCTATTCTAAGGAGTCATTACGGCAGTTGTATTTGAAGTTTGACGATGTTGTGACTTCTCTTGGTTTTGTTGAAAATATAGTCGATCAATGTATTCATTTTAAAATAGGTGGGAGAAATATTATTTATCTTGTCCTGCATGTTGATGACATTTTACTTGCAATCAGTGATTT